GGGGATTTTGAACGGGAAGGGCGCCTGCGTTTTCTCTCTCCTCGCTCGTGTTTTTCTCTTTTATACGACAAGTCCTCTGTAACTCACCTGTGAAACAGTACCCTGTAAGTGTAGCACGGCTCTAAAGATAATTACATAAGGTTTCTACGTTTATACGAAAATAGCCACTTTTAGCTCCAGCTTATATCTACAACATACTACAACCATCTTTGCCCAACCTCATTCTTTACTACAATCTTAGTTAAATTAAACTCGAGCAAGATAGGTTCTAGACCACTCATTCCATTAAGCAACTCCACTCTTCCTTCAAGAAAATTTAAGTAACTATAGGGTATGATGCACAAGTTGCTACACCTGCAACCAAAGTTATTTGTATCAGTTTACAGGACCATGGTCGAAAGATTCAAGGATCAAATGATGTGGATAACATCTAACATGAGCTGTTTCTCCATTGTCTAATTAGGTGTAACATTTAGAATGGGACTAGCAAGGGAGTCTGCAAAAACTTACCGCACATGTTCTTCCCCATCTCCATTTTAAAGTAGCCGTGGTTACCCCAGTTAGCTCCCCATGAGTTCTTAATGAGCCAGTATGGGATACTATTTTCAACTCCATAACCAACGGCAAGAACAGCATGGTTCAAGTCCTGCAAATGTAAGTGTACCATATTCTGATGAGTGTTTAATATACTTGGTATCCTGTGAAGATCATGTATATCAGTGTCTCTGCTGCAGGCAAAGAATTAGAATAATGCTATTCGGAGTCGCTTACTATAACAGTCGTCCTACGTGGCATACACATGCATCAATGTGCATGCCAAATAGGGCAACTGTTGACTACGAATAGCATTAATCTAAGAATTGATAAGATTTTGAACCTAAATACTAATATAACTGCAAGCTTATATGCCATTCTATCAACAAGATCAGGATCTGATATGAAATATATTTATATAGAAGAAGATTATGTCCCTGATTGCACACGGAACTTCTTTTCCTTTTCTATCTAGACAAAAGTCTTATTTTCCCATTACTAATTTTTCAGTTGAAATCAAGAGTAATGTATGTAAAAGAGAACAAAGCTTCACAGAAAGTAGGGTCTCAAGGCTATACACTATGGACATTAGCAAACTAAGATTTTGCAGTCATATAACTATAAAAATCCTATTTTGACAGTTTTCTCAATCCTTTTACTATCAAATTTCTAATATTTCTTAAGAAAGCAAAGGACTCACCATTGGACTATTGCCACATTTTGTGCTGGTGTAAACTCCCCCTTTATAAAATCGAAATCCAGTTACCAACTCAAAAGCCACACTTACTGGCCGAACAGTTCCTACTGCATGCTTTAATTCATGTTCGGCACCCTGTTGATTTACCAACATGTTAAAACACAACCAAACAGCCAAAATTATGACTTCGCCTTTTGTCTCGTATGATCTGAAAGTATACTGTCTCGTATGATCTGAAAGTATACAAGTTAGATGCCAGCATTATTTTTCAAGAATGTGAAATTTCAGTGCAAATCAACAACTATGTTGGAAAAGCGATCTGTTGGGCTAAAAGGATAACAAACGAGAATTTGTTTTGTTAAAACTGTATTTAGTATTTCAGATAAAAAATTTTAGTTAGCAAGTTAAGCGTCGACAATCTAAGGAAGTCATAATGAGCTGATTCCATTTAAACGTAACCATATGACCCGTTCAGCCAACTGAAATCTTCCTACTAATGTAGTCAAGTTGGTTGAGACTCTAATAAAGTTGAACAAGTAACTTACCAGGGTGATATTGACAGAGTCAAGAACTTGGATGGCATTGTTTTCAGATGCGTATTTGCACACACCATCCTTTCCAGTGTATGGATATGCAGCCTCGGTTTCAAGTCCACCATTGTATTTAATGTACTCAAAGCCTTGAGATGGAAGACCACCGTTGCAGCCAAAGTTGTTGAATGCACCAGCACAGTCCACAAGCTGCTGTTCAGACAAAGAAATACCTTTCCCGAATGCCTGTGCATAAGCAGCCTCAACGGCTCCTGTAGTGCTGCAAACTAACAAATTTCAGGTGCTATTTGAAGTGCTTCTCACATATTTATTTAAAGAACAGTTACATATATATGAGCTCCAATCTCCATAATCTGACAGTCAATCTTACCTGGATGTCCAGCAGGATCCACAACTACCTTGATTTTTAACTGGGCTCACTATGCCAGTTTTCCTCCAGTCTTTCTGCAATACACCAGAACAAAGTCTACTACCATTAGAAAGAGAAATTACACTTTTGACTTAATGATCACCTCAAAAGACCTTCAAAAACTGTTGTTAGTTGTTATCTTGTGGCATTATCTTATATACAATCGGTAATAGAACTACATATCAAATTCAACAACTAAAAAGGAGAAAAGAAAGTGAATTTGTTGTCATCTAGTTGTATGCCACAAGTCTAAATTTTCATAAAGCTGTATGTGAAGGTATACAATCAATGAAGCAATCATGTCTAACAAAGATTGGTGCATCTCATGGTTCTATACCTATCTGAAAAGAGCACAAAGCATAAAAAGGAAACTTTTCTCGGGCATTCAAAATGAATACATTCGAAAAATTGCCAACTTACAAATAAATTATCATAAAATTTTCCATACAGTTTATAGAGTACAGAGATTAGAAAGAGTGAACAATAAACCGTATCAATTAGTTGTTTCACGACAAAAAATTCTCAACAGAATATTAAAATCAATAAGAAATGCAGAGAGACTACAATTACCGTTTCAGGAAGGAGAACATCAGTGAGCTTGTGATTGCCTCTTGTAGTAGCAGAGCAGTTCTGAGTAGCTCCTAACCTATGCCTACGGAACTCGTCCCATGTCAAATCGGCAAACTCTGTTCACCAGTGTATCAGTGTAAGCGTTGTCAACAAGTGACGTCGAAACAAAGATTTGAAGACCCCTTAGAAGCCACCTTATTGTCTTTCATTAATTTAAAAACTAAGTGCTCTCCTATAAAGTAATAGAAGAAGCGAATTCGTGATCATGGATATAGTTCATACAAGTATGGATGCGCAGGTAGTTGACTTAGAGTAATGTAATCGAGTAGGAGTAATATGTGAGCCAAAAGGGAACATCTATGTACACACTCAAGTACGAAAAATAAATTCATCTGCTAGATTGCAAGCTATAAACGAAGTTCAGGATATCTACTTCCTTCACAAACATATTCATACTTCTATTTTAAAACATGCAATACTGAAGATTCATTTGTAGTACAAGTTGGAATTCTTAATTAAAATTTTAAAGTCAAGTCACTCAACCACTAAGTTCAAGCAATTTAAATAACACTCAAACAAACATATAGCCCATTCATTAAGGTTATACATATCAATATTGACAGGCCTCCCGGGGCCTAGCTCAGTGGTGAAAAGGATATGAGAGAGGTAGTCTCAACTGAGCGACAGCCGCAGTATGAGGGTTCGATTCCTGCCTCTTACAAGGTATGAAATTGGACTCTTTGTGGGCACCAGTATGGCAACTCTTGTATCCTGGCCTGCTGAGGCACATCCTGTGATTTACCTCCTCCACAATGTTCTAGGGGAGGGGAGGGGAGGGGAGGGGCGGTGGGGGGCCTCAAGGTGGGGTTGAATTATTTAAATAATTGGGCACTATTTAGGTATCTAGTTGCTTATTGTATTTTTGGGAGGTTCATTATATGTTTAGAACATTGCAATTTTGATATACGGACCACTATATGTGAAAGATAACATTTATAACCTACGCAATCATATAGAAAATAGTGTAATTGAAATTCGGTATATGGATATTATCAGATTGTGCTTAGAATAGTTTTGACTTACCTCGAGAAAGATAGTTCAATATAATTGAATTATCGATTGTCAAGAATACACAATTGTCACTGGATGAATAGATCGAAACTTAGAAATAGGAAAATATTAGGTGGATTCAGAATTCCAATACTTCATGATTCTCATACAATTTCATTAAATTCTTAGATAATAAGTAGGATAAGTTAGAAATAAACAAACCAAGTATTCTGTTAGTTTCATATTTGAGCTTAATAGTGAACTAATATGACTCAATTTAAGATTCATTTCTCGTGGAATAATATTCTTTCTCACTAATTCATTACTTGTTAACAATTCCATACACTTGTGAAATTTCAACGGACAACCATGGTAGGAATAGAGGTAGAAATTACAATTACCCCAAATTTCTTCATATTCTTCAAGAGGGGCTAATCCGCCTCATTAGTGGCCTCGTCCTCATGCAACCCCTTACTAGCCTCTCAAGTAGTTCCCTATGCCTCTTGTAGGCAAAGGTTGAGGTTTTAAGCTCTCTAGCCTCTTCCATAGTTCGATGGATTGAAGACATATCGAGCCTCAAAACCTTTTTCTTCATGATTTTTTTTTTTTGTAAAAAATAAAAAAATAAAATTTTACTACAAATCCATAAAGGGTCAAACATATTGAGGTGATGAAAGCTAGATTTTTACCTTGATGATCCATCAAATAATTCCTGACGAAATGGCAGTTCTTTTCAATGAGCTCATAGTAGAGGCAAATTATATGAGAACACTCGTAGATGACCTGAATAATCTCCCACTCAGAGATCTCACAAAGCAAAAGCGTATCTTCGAACAAGAAAATAAAACATAAAGTATGAACGATGCGGAGATGAGAGGCAAGGTTTTAGTATATAGGGAATCACTATAAGTAGAATGTGGTTGATACGATAAGAGGCGAAAAGGTATCTCATTCAACGGTGTCCCACAGGCCTAATGCACAAAAACATGACTCATTCTACCCTTTAATGGACCATGTTGGTCCAGTACAAAAAATACTGTAAAATCCCTATGTGGTTATGTAATACCAACCCTTAAACTACTCATCCGTTCTAGAGACCTGATGCTTGTAAATGGTATGGAAGACGCTGAAGGGAATGTCCAAACGAAGTCTCACGCCAATGCATCCATGAAACAACCATCTTGCCCCAGGAGTTAAGGCTGAATTGGTTGGGAGCAAGGCCATAAGATTGAAGGACGAGGCAAAAGACTGGATGGATGGGTAAACAAAGCCCAAGCTTTAATATAGCCTCCCTAAAAGTTGCATCATGTCTACACCTACATTTAGAGTTCTAATCCTGCCTCTTCATCATAGCTGCATTACAACTTCATCTATTTTCAAAGACATCATCTGGCCTCTGCATTACAATTGTATCACAACTATACCTATATTTAGAGGCCTCATCTCACCTCTGCAAAATAGATGCACCTATCTTCCGAGGCCTCATCTCGCCTTTGATCAGATGCACCTATATTCAGAGGCCTCATCTTGACTTTGTGTCATAACTGCATCACAGTTGCACCTATCTTCAGAGGTATCATCTCGACTCTTCACAACAGCTGCATAATAGCTGCATCCATCTTTAGAGGACTCATCCCAATATTATTAAAACTTTGCCTCTGCACCACAATTGCTTTAGTACCATTGCCACTTATGGGCACCACAAAAAGATCTTATCAACAACCAAAGTCCACACAATATATGAATATTCATACCTGAACTAAGGGGACTAACTTGTTGTACCTTGTCACAACCAAACAAATATTTAATTCGCGCTATGTCACTACAACATGTTCCAAGATAAAGGTAGAAAACTGTATGCCAAAGCATCATCACCTTCTCCACTACAATCACATCATCATGTTAGCTAAGTTAAATATCAGAGGTAGGTTATAAGCCTTCTCGTATCATATAATTTCTCTCACTTCCTACCGAAGTCCACACCTTATATGAAATTTACGGCTGGACTTAGGGGACTATTGTTACCCTCATCCTATGAAGCTCCAATCACTGGTCGTGTGGCAGCTAGCTAAGAAACCATCTCAAGCCCTCACTCCATAACACTCATTTACCTAGCCTAATCGAGGCCATCTAAAAGGAAAAGTCGAAGTGTTGCATTACCTTAGTCAAGGCGCCATGTAAAAGTCGAATCTCCATGGTTGAAGCGAGGTATTACGATCTGCTGTAGCCTATTTTCGAAGCGGTGAGCCTTTAATTATATGAAGGCATCTCCCTAGTTTTGTCTTTCCAAGAGATCTTTCGTACAAAATTTTCATGATTTATTTATGAGACCTCTCTACAGTAGATGTCTGCCTGTCAACTTATCAATCTAATTTTCAGATGCTAGATCTAGGCTATGGGAGGCTAATTTTAGAATCATTAAATATCTTTCAAACCTAGAATTGTAGAGGTGACGCCTAAGAGATGATGCGTCGGCCCTTAAGATGGCCAAGTGTCTTTCATTCAACGGTAACCACTTCATCTTTCCTACTTTAAAAGCTCATACTTAGTGTAGTTTGAAGGTAATTCAACTCCACACTTTCAATATTAATATTGCTAACTATTTTTGTTTATTTCTACAACTCAATGCCTCTACACATACTCATGGCTTATGTCTTCTGTTTATTTCATACCTAAATATACAATTTAATTGACTTAACCGTCGTAGTGCTCATGATCACCTACCTACATCAGGAGAAGGTCATGTGCTTTTAAAGTTTTGTCTAAGTGTATAGAAACCTCACATTTGAACAAGAGTGGAGTGGAAATCTGTTGACTATGTCACCGATCAAAAATCGAGGTCAACAAAACATGTAAAATACCCTTTAAGGTACAATAATAGAATGAAAGAAAAGAATAAAGAAAAGGGAAAAAAAACTCAAATACCAAACATCATGCCTAAATCTAACTATATCAACCTTCTTTATTCCCTTTTTTATCCTTTATTCCTTTTTTCTTTATTTCTTATTCTTTTATTCAGCTTCCATGTAGCAAAATTTATAAACTATTTATAAATGATCAATATTCACTTTCAACCACACATTTTAATAGATCCATGAATATTATCCACTTATCGACTATTCATTTTATCTATTTATAAATTAAACCGTTTATTAATTTTTTTTCAAATGAAGGCTACTTTTTAACGTTCCAATACAAGGTTTGGATCCCAGTTGAAATATTCCCTATAATATATTGCTAAGGTATTGAGGATGGTACTAGAACAAAGAAAGGATTAACCCCCGGCCCCCCACATTGTCAGCATCGTGATGGAGGTTGCGACGTGGTGGCTGTGGTAGTGAAGTAGGGGTACTTGTTCTTTCCCCTTTTCTTTTGATTTTATTGTGTGTAAATTTTTCATTTTATTTAAGAATATTAAAATCATAATTTTTTTCCTTTTAATTTTTGAATTTACAAGGTTGAGTAACAGAAATTGATGAAATTTATACATTTTGATGGAAATGGCTCATATTTTCGAAAAGTTTGAGTCCTTATTTAATTTATTTCTCATACTTATTTTCAATCACATATTCACATAATAAAATATTTTATACTTAAACCAATTTTTTTCATATTTTTCAATTACACATTCTTCAAAAAATACTATTCAAAACTATGTTTTTAAAATTCTAAGGATGTCAATCAAGAGCTAAAGTCGAAAAAATTTACTACTATACCTTTGGTAGAGAATTTTTTAGAATAAATTTTATGAAGATGTTTTTTTTTTTAGAATGTATGGTTAGAAAGTAGAAAAAATTATGAATTTACGTGCAAAATTATTTTATTAATGTGTGATTAAAAAAAAACTGTAAAAAATAGAAATAATGGGCCAAACATAGACTGTATATTAATTGGTAATTGATAAAGTCTTAAATAAACAAAGTGACCAAAGTATTAAATTGATAGCACCCCTTTAATCATTGTTATTTCAGATTCTAGCATAAATTATAAATAGAATAAAGCTATATGCATATTGTTGGTTGGCAATGTATTTGACACCCTTTCTATATGACAAAAATCTGGACAATAATGTGCTGTTTATGATTAAAATAAGTAGTGTAGATCTAATCACATCAAATAGTGTAAGCCTTAACGTAACTCGCGATCATTTCCCATCAACTCGATAAAATGGTTTCAAAAAAGAATGGAATCTAAACTTTGGTTTCAAATAAGACATATAACGGTATCAATAAACATGTGCTTAACACCTCTAAGATTAGTATTATTCTTTTTTAAATGCTAGAATTTAAAACATAATTGTGTTTGTGTCACAAACAAAGTTAAACTTCAAATAGTACATACTTTTCATATCAGATATATGATTCAAATAGAATTTTATACTAATTAAAAACATAATTTTCGTGCATCAAGTTGAATTTAAGTAAATTATATGCTAGCTTCATTCTTAGTTGATATAAAACTAAGGTTTGAATCATAATCATCATTCATAAGAATTAAGAATAAAGTATAAAGGAAAAAAGAAAAAGAAGCTAGCATGTTTTGTAATCATTTGTAACTTCAAGTTTACACCAACAAATTTGTAAACATTTTTTATTGTCACCATAATATAGTAGAGTCAAATGCAAGTGTAGTCTATGTTTAAAAGGAGGGTTAGTTTTAAAGATAATAGCAAATACATTGTGAAGACAGAGTTAGGAGATCCATTGTGAAGAAGATGGCGCAGCAGTCACCGCAACAGCAGGATGTAATCATCGGAAGTGAGTAACGCCTTTTTTAGTTTTTATTTTATTTATAACATGGCCCCAAGGAAAGTATTATTGGTATTTGATTGTAATATTTTATTGATTGACTTTTGAGAATAAAAAATATATGTATAAGCACACATTTTCCTTCAATTCTTGATATGAAAGCAGTTGTGGATGATACTTGGAAAAATGATCTGTACAAAGCATTAAAAAAAGGCAAGTGGGAGAATATCGAACGAATAATCCAGGACCATCGAAATGAAGTATTCACAGCCAAGCTAAATGAAAATGGAGAAACATTGCTCCTCTCGGCCGTCAATGAAGCTAAAAAGGGGTTAGTCAACANNGAAGCTAAAAAGGGGTTAGTCAACAAGCTGGTGGAAAAGATTGCACCAGATTTACAGCATGCACCAGATTTACTGGCTGAGACTGACATCTTTGGGAATACAGCGCTTCACTTAGCAGCAAATGTTGGACTTGTTGAAGATGCCAAACTACTTGTGAGAAAAGATTCCAAATTGCTGAATTGTGAAAACAAAGATGGACTTTTGCCAATTCAATTAGCTGCGAGGCGAGAACAAGCAAATGCTCGCAGCATGACTTCTTACTTGTTTAAAGCCGGCAAGGACGATGAAAATCATTCCAAGCTACTCAAAGAAGAAGCTGGTGCTGGTGTTGGTGTTGGTTCAAGGGTTATGATATCTTTAATAAAAGCAGGATTTTATGGTAAGATCAAGTCTAGCACTTCCAACTTCTTTAGCTCACCTGCTGATTAACTAATCTATCAAAACGCATGGGAGGTCATGTGGATTTGATGTTGTGATGTATCAATTTATACAGAAAAATAATCTTGAAAACCGTAATTCTGCTGATATTTTAGATTTGGCTCTTGATTTACTTGAATTCAACGGGAACTTGGCATGGAAAGAAGAGAATATCAGTCCTTTGGAGCAGATGGCCAGTGATCCGAGTGGTTTCAAAAGTGGATTTCGCTCGAGCAGTTGGCAGTCCTTAATCTACTCGTATTCATGTATCTCTGAGTTTCCTTTCCTCTCCATTATTCATTATCAAATATGTGTATGTTGTTTGCGTACTATTTGTCTGGAATAAATATTCACATTAACTTTGATTCTCACATTTTCAGCATTTCCAGTCACGACCTCAAAGCCTTTTTTGCATGATTTTTAATTATAGTATTGATTCAGAACCAAGGGACCAAAAGAAACAAGTTTTTATCTTTCGAATCAATAAATCATATCTACTACAATGGATTTTAATCAATTGTTTGTATTGTAGATGTTCCCACGAATAGGAGTACAGAGTATTCACTATCTGAAGGTATGATGAAATCACTAAATTCCTCCATGTTTAGATAGAGTTTACTTGAGGTCTTCACAAGGTTGTTTTGCAGTATACAAGACGATGATCTGGAATGCGCTTCCAAAAGTTCTAGGTAAGAATATACATAAGCAGTCACTTAACAAAGAAACCGAAGAGATTATTTAGTCATGAAGTAATTAGTGGGATTTGTTGCAAATGTAGTGCAAAATATGGACATTCCTGCACTAAAATTGAAGCATCATCATGCACTTCGACTAGTCCAGTCCTTATGCTCAACTATTAAAACAATGGGTGAACCCCAAAAGAAACTTGGAAAGCCATTACTTTTAGGGGCACAGAATGGAATAGAAGAGATTGTCCATGAAATTCTAGAGTCTCTTCCTACCGCAATAACTTATACAAATGACAAGAAGCGTTCAATATTTCATGTTGNAGCAGTGGTGGCAAAGGTACAATTACATTCTTTCAGCTGCTCTAGATGCCGGGGTAGCTTTCATGTCAGTGCTACTCTATTTCTCGGTCGGGATGGAGAATAGAGGGTTAAGTTGGTGGGGCACAGAAGGGGAGCACTGCCAGTTAGCAATTTGTCCAACAGCTAAAGGAATATCAGTTGATGGTTGTCCAGTGAACTGATATACTGTGCATGTATATTACATATCTTAGGTTCAAATTCGATAATGATTCTCCCACCGCCGTTTCCTGTAAGTGTACTAAAGAATTACACCAAAAGAATCAACAAAAATGTTGTCTAAATTCTGAATTCGATGGCACTCTGTCGAAGAAAGAGTGAATTTGTATTTGACTCTTCTATAATATTTATGTTTGTAGTTGAACTATTTCTGAACTCTGAAACTGCTGCCACCAGGAAATAGCGGTTAGGAAGAACTAAAAACTATTAAGACAGAATAATTATCAACCCATAGAGAATTTGTAAAAGTGAATGATCTGACATGAACAATGAAATTTAACTGTTCTTCAGCCAGTGTAAAATGAGATGAAACCAAGACAGAGCGGCAGCTATGCTCTTTTTTTGAGCCTTTTTTTTTTAAAACTTATTTTCCTGATCCAAGTGTGCACTTCATCTCCGGAGTTTGATTTTTATTCCAGACGACCCCAAATTTTGTCCTCAAGTATCCGTAAGTCTACTATCATCGATTAAACAGCTAAAGGCAAGTTATTTAAAAAGACTTTAATCCAACAGAGGTACGTACCTGGTCCTGAAGGGTCCAAAGAAAAGAAAGGCAGTCAAGATTTCGAGATGTTCTGTTAATTGTTAGCTGGCTTAATCTAAACAATTTTTTTTAAAAAAAAAATTTGTGTAGAAGACTGATAGATTGGAAGAAATACATTATTTGGAGCAGGTGGGAAGACTTGAAACTCGGTATTTCCTTTTTACTTTTTTGACTATTGTATCAACTGTTCCAAGAATGCTGTCTATTTTTGCTTGTCAATGTGTAAGAAATGTTAGGAAAAATACAAAAAGAAAAAAGGAAATTAGAAATATCGCAAGAATTATATAAATAAAATAAGGAAAATAAACATTAAAATAAAAAACTGATTAACAATAAAATAGGAAATAATTGTTGATATAATAGCGGTATTGAAAGGAACCGAAACCTGTGTTATACACAGTTTTCTTAAAATAGATTCGATCCTAAATCGTTTGATTTCCCGCAAGTGAATGTGATCGTGAACAATAAAGTAATGAATAGAGTGTCGAACTCACGATGACTACGTGTTTGATCCAGTTAAAATTAATTGCAACTTTAATTAAATACCAAATAAATATTGTGATTTTTGTATACTAATCCTTGAATTATCAATTAAACTAATGAAAATAAGTAAATATGTTTTTGAAATATATGAGTTGCATTGTTAAGATATCGAATCCCCCTTATTATTCCATTTTTAGTGTAACAATTAAAGTGATAATTTGAAATTATTTATGTTGGTTAATGTTCCTAATTTAATTGAAAGTCTCTTTCGACAACAATCAAATATATTCCCATCATATGACCCTTCTATCTCTCGATGAAAGATGCAAATATGATAAATGCATTAACAATAATTAGAACACCTATTGAAACCATATAAAGCATAGAAGTATATTTCTATCCTCTATCGAATCTTACAATATTTATTATATTGTGCTTAAACCATATTATCTCTCTCGATAACAATAAAATTCACTAACAATTCAAGCGATCAAGCAATTGAAAAAAATGATAAAAACGATAATAATTATCCACAAATCAAATCAAATTAAAGTCAAAATAATTAACTAAAAACTAAAAAAATATTATAACAAGGGTTCATCTTAGGACGAGGGAGTTTCAATTTTCTTAGTTAATACGATTTAACGCAAATAATGTTACAATAGTCATGAATAATTTGTTAACCATGGATTAACTATGGAATGGAATCAATTCAAATACAAATTTACTATGGAATTGAATAGATTTGAAACCTAAGAATTACTGTTACAATTTCATTCAATTCAATTTTATTTTTGAATATTTTCCAACAAGATACAATTTTCCTTGAACCTAAAGCATAATGCACTGAAATCGCTACAAATTTTTCCTTGGACCGGAACGTTCGTTATTTTTTCTTGTAATACACATTTAATTTTTGATAGTTTCCTCGGCCTTTTGACTATCTTTCGACGGCTTAATAGTACAAAACGTCCCTACGTTTGGCATGTGGTGTGCAAAACGTTCATACATTTCATTTTTTTGCATTGTCGCCTTTATTTCAACATTTTATTGCAGAAAACGTCATTTTCATTATTTTTAGTGTAAAATGACCAATATACCCGCCTATATAAATAAAACAAAAAAAAGAAAAGAAAAATAAAAATATTAATTATACTTCCAAACTTTTTAAATAGTGCAAGTGAGTCCAAAAGCTCTATTAAAAGATTTAAGCACAAAACGTCCCCACGTTTGACACTTATTGCGTAAAATGTCCTTACGTTTCATTTTTTTGCATTTTAGTCCTTATTTCAACGTTTCATTGCGAAAAATGTCATTTACACTATTTTTGAATGTAAAATGACAAATATACACTCATATTTAAATAAAATGAAAAAACAGTTACAGATTATAATGAAGAATGTGATGATGATGAAAAAGAGTCTACTGATGAAGTTGAAGAATTTGATATAACAGAATTGAGGAAACTGGTAAAAATCGAGAGGAAGAGAGCAAATGCAGCTTATGGAGAACTCGAAAAAGAAAGGGCAGCTTCTGCCATTGCAGCAGAGGAAGCAATTGCTATGATTTTGCGGCTTCAGAACGAGAAGAGCGTGATCGAAATGGAAGCTAATCAGTACCGTACATGAGCAAGAAGTGATTCGATCATTGAAGTGGCTCGTGCTAAGTATTGCAATTGAGAGGATGAAGAATGAATTGAAGATATTATTCATCTCAATTGGGGAAAAAAGAAGAATCGATCAAAT